AGCTTTATTCTATAGCTACTATCTGCAAAGAATAAAAATAAGTCACTCTCATCCAGCTTTGTTACACAAAAGTGGCTTGGTCCTTGTCCACAGGCAAACAGCAAGGCAAGGCTTCTTGTATCTTGGTCCTGAATGCTACAACGGAGACGTTTTGACCACCTTCATATTGGGAAAACAGAGAGAAGAAATTACTTTCACGGTACATGATCGCTATGTCTCTCGTTGAGGTCAATTGTTTGTTTCGATAAACAGACAACATATTAATTCTATATCAAGAGTTGTTTTCTTACTTTATAAACCTGCCGCCAGTTGTTACCAAAAGCGTCATAACAAGATTTTAGATTCTCACAGCAACAGGTGTCCCAACTTAATGGTACCTGCACCTTGTCGTGGTGGTGGGGCTTGAGTACCTCAGTGACCCCAAGAGCTATGCTGGTGGTAGCACAGCTACTGGTAGGGCCTCCCTAGCCAGATTGGTCGAGGGGGAGAGGTCAGACTAAGACAGGTACCCTGGTCCTCCAGGTTGGGGGTTGGTCGCAAGGCTAACAACCTTGCACCATATAAAGGAAGATGTTTCGAAACCTCGATCAAAGCCTCGGACAGATGGACCTAACAGAAGACCGAATGGAAGAGGAGAATTGAGGAGGCCATGGACCAAATATGGACCGGAGAGCCATAGAAGAAGAAGGAAAGATACTTACGAATAAGACGACACATGATAAGTTCATAACAATACTGAAGCTTACGACAAAATAAATTAAACACTATCTTATTCTAACCTGGATAAACTTTAACTGTAGCATTAAGCTGAACACCTGACATCCCACTCTTCTGCTTAATGTAGAGGGTGTTAAAATACGACGTTATCGCCAAAGTCGAGGATTCACTTCTTCCTCCGAGCTCGGTAGCCGCTTCACACAGGAACCACCAGGTGCCATTAGTGTCCGCATAATTATCGGTTACCTCGATGATCCCAGTACCGCCCGGGCAGCTCCTGCTCTCGGTCAGTGTCATGTGGTACAGTTCCAACAGGATGACATGCCCCACTGGGGCAACAAAGTGCTGTAGAAATTCCACATGTGGAGGAGGAGGTTTTGGGTAGTTGAGGTGAAGCAGAGTGCCAACTGTCACGTTGCTGAGGTCCACCAGTCTTTCCTCATGTACCTGAACCACTTAAAACAGTAACATTTTTGTAGAAACATTGTCTACGTAGTGAGTATTATAAAACACACATTTAGGATAAAATAAATATATAACTGCAATTATGTAAAACAAAAATTGCAAGTCTATCGCTTACAAATTCATCCACAAAAGAGGTTCTAAAAATAAGCCGGTGCTTTTAATTGAAATACCCATTCATTATTCAGAAATGGTAAAATTGTGTAAATATCAACCAAACGACTGCACATAATGAGATTATATACAGTATGTCCCCAAAGTCCCTTCCGGGTTTTGAAAAATTGTGGCATGCAAACAAATTGAACTAGCCACATGCGGTTTGTGGCAGATTACAGTGAAACTCTGGAAGATGGTGCTTCACTAGGGTCTGCAGGTACGCGCGTACCTAGACAGGACATTTCCAGGAAGATGGATCGGCAGAGATGGTCCAATGCCTTGGCCTCCATGTTCACCAGATATAACACCACTGGATTTTTTTCCTGTGTGGTTATGTCAAGAGCAATGTGTTCCAAACACCCGTTAATGGACTTGATGACCTGAAGACCTGTATCAGGAATGCGATCTCGGCTATTCCAGCGGACATGCCTCACAGAACATGGCAAGAGCTGGAATATCGTCTGGACGTTCTCCGTGCTACCAAGGGAGCCCACATTGAAGTCTACTGAGGTCAGTAAAAAACTTCCAGAGTTTCACTGTAATCTGCCGCAAACCGCATGTGGCTAGCTCAATTTGTTTGCACACCACAATTTTTCAAAACACCGAAGGGATTTTGCGGACACACTGTATTTTAAAATGGATGCTGTTCGTGGGATTCAGGATAGAATACAGTGAATATTTTTTTAGAACTTACGCGTGATGATACCTTGGTTTCTGTAACACAAATAAATTACGCTAAATTAATATGTTTACCTGTTCTGTACACCGCCTTAAATCCAATTCCTCTGGGTTTATCAGCAGTTTTCAGTCTGACACGCAGACGTTCACCCTCTGAAAGGTAAGCGCCATCTGTGAGGTGGCCTGGTAGCTGGAAGGGTCGGAAAGGCCCATTGCCTCCGCTCAGGTCTATCTCAAACACTGCTTCACTGCGAGCCTGTTCTTGCAACTGAAGGTCCCTGTCATTTTTACGTTGCGCTCCAAAATCAAACTCCAAGAACTGCAGCCAGATCCGTCGTCCAGCTAGAAAATAATTTGAAGATATGAACTTTCTTTAGTTCAACGGCCAGTTGTGTTACCCTGATGATAGAGGCAGGAAGCACCTCTACTTACTTCAACCAGACTACATAATGCAACACTGTAGAAGACGGTCATCTTTGTAAGTACCACTCACCTGGCGCTAGTATGGTCGTCGCACAGTCCAGATGGGCCATGAGGAAGTGTGGATAATTGGGGCTCATAAGTGTCCCCTCTCTAGCAGTGAGAGTTTGTAAGGGGCAGCCTGATACATCCACAGCCTGCCATGTGGCTGAGAAACCGGCGCCAGCTATCGAGTAGTCTGAATGGAACCTCAGAAATGCCTTGTTACTTTCTGATACAAAATTGTACCTATAAAACAAAACATGCACACAAAAAAATAAATACTTAAACTGGCCAAGTTTTGATTACAAATATTTGTAGAAAATATATATAGAGTCTGTGATGCCATAATTTTAAGTAGATGTTCTACGAATAACTCAGATTTCTACTTTCATCAAAATGCTTCACTTTTAATGTTGAGACTATCAGGAACCATAAATGATAGATTTATAAAAAGTTTGTCCTCCTGCGACCTGAAAGTACGCTTGAGGAAGGCGTATTACTGCACAGTACAGCACAGTATTTTGTTCAAATGGATGACAAAAGCTGTGTGTGGTGACGGCACTTTGTCGGACACTTCGGTTTTATAACATTATTCGTCAGTGAACAACACTTCATTTTGGTTTCACATTGAAGTCAATGTGAAATTTTTTATTAAAACTCCCTATTTCTTAAATATCTCTATATACAGTTACCAACCAGCTTTAAATTGCCAATGCATTAAGGAGATTGACGAAGATGAATTACAAGGACCTTTCTTATGCACTCACTTGTCCATTTCCGAATAGTGGCTCCCACACCATCTAACGGCATCATCCGACAACTGCTTCTTCCCTCCTAGACTCCCGAGTTCCACAAAGTCATAAAGGCACTCGGCCTGTAACTCTAGATCCAGCTGCTTGAACTGAATTACAAGTCGAGACTTTTCTGGACCGACCAGCTCGACCCAGTAGTCCAGATTGTGGTAGTAGTTTCCAGGGAAGTTAGGAGATGTAAGGAAACCTTTCCAGTAGTCTAGATTGTGGTAGTAGTTTCCGGGGAAGTTAGGAGATGTAAGGAAACCTTCTGTACCATTTACAGTTCTGTTCAGATGCAGACCACTCCCTGATACTGAAAGAGGCGTTACAACATTATTTTACGTAAACACTAGATCACTGGTCCCCAACCTTTTTGTGCCTATGGGCACATTTGAGAGTTTATGAGATCGTGGTGGGCACCAACCAATTAACAAAGTCAAATTTTCTTTTCTCTGGACAAATAAGATATAGACACCAAATAATACACAAAACAACACAACGTTTAATGATACAAGAAACCACGCAATCAAAAATATGTAGTTTTATAAGTACAATTATTATTACTCAATTGGGAAGTTAGTGTGATGTTTGGCACTGCATTTCATCGGCCAGTTTTTCAAATTTGGGAGTGTAGGATGATGCTGCTGCTCGCAAACAATCGTCAAGATGGGCATCAGTAAGTCAAGATCTGTGCTTTGATTTTATAATGTTCGTGGTTGAACAACGCGGGCACCCAAAAAAAGCCTTGGCGAGCACCGCGTTGGGGACCACTGCACTAGAGCTTTGATGTAAATCGTTAAGTATACTTATACTGACCACGGCTTGCAATATTAATTAATTCAAGTTTGTTTTATAAAAAGACAAATGGAAAGGGCAGGTTTAAATTCACGAGGAGCAATTTCTTTTGTATACTTTTATTACCTAAACCCTTTCTTCTTTTTTGTTATCCTTCTCATTCTTTATCTCCTTCCATCCTTTCTCCCATATTCCTTTTCCATCTCTTTAAACTTACAAACAACAATAAAAAATATCAGCCATGCTACATACTATGTTATGTCAATGCTTTCTATAAGTAATTCTAAAAGCTGCCTAATGACAGAAGCAGTTGTAAGATTCTGCCATCTAGCAGTACTACTGAGAATGTTTAGGCCTCTGTGAGCACAATAAAGTATACATCAAAGCACACAGACATAAAACCAGGTTTTATATAATACACAAGGCACACGGCAAAACTACGACAAGGCCTGAAATCAAAATCGGAAAAGCAGAATTATAGTGGTTAATAAAGATATAACTCGGGATGCCAGAACCCACCAAGGGCTGTAGTGCAAGGGAAGAAGAATAAAAATATAAGGTGAATTTATAAAGAACAGCAAGCTAGTTACTTTCAAATAATCATTCAAGGTCATTCATGTTAATACAGAAAACATAAAAGAAAAAGGCTTGGTCTACTGGCACGCACTCGTTACATTTAAAAAATTCTAAAAGTAAGCGTATGATAAAGTCTAAAGTGATGTATTGCGAGGTGAATGCAATTTATACAGCACGAAGACACACATCAGATCTCTTCTGTCTGAGATGCAGATAGACAACTAAAAAAATAGGTTTAATCTCTTAGCGTACGTTAAGTATTATCTGAGAGTAGTGAGAGTAAGCTTAATATTGGAGTCTGCCTCCATTTTATTTTTTAGAGCGTGTTTATTAAACACAAGTGAAAGTTTTTAATATCTATAAGGATAAAAATAAATCGCAGGTCTCTTGTAAATGGCACTGTACCTTGATTTCCTCTCTTACAGACATATCCACCAATAGCATTGCAGCGCTGAGATTGCCAGTATAAGCCACTAGGAAGTGCAGACGTTGGAGAGGGCATCCACTGGATTCCTAGACATACCGGCGAGTATTCTGCATCTGTTGGTGTGTGTCCAGACAGCCATGCTGTAAAATAAAATGAAATAAGTCAGGAACTTAAGAGAACACATTTTTATAAATGGATTTTGAAACTAAACGGAGTAAATTTGTACCAGGATACTCTAAACGTTAGGTGTCCCGTGCCATAGCCATGCGGTCTGAAGCATGATGCTTCAGACCGGTGATACGTAATACGTGCTGGTTCGAGTCTCGGGGGAGAAGAAATTTTCTCATGAGCTTTCGACCAGTGTATGGGACC